CTTATTTTAAATATTTTAGGCCTTTACAGAAATATAGCAAACAATTAAACAAGACGCACCGGAGAAATGTATGAGCGAGGACGTATGTATGCGCTATAATAGCTCTTTTAACATTAGTTTCAAGTAACTGCTTTTCTGAGGCATCAGGTCAATGCAGGATCTAAATATTTACTAACTGAAAGAGACAAAATAATTAATCACTAACCAACCTGGAACATGATCAGCCGATCACTGGCATCTTGGGGTGCAAGTCCCACAACCATGGGACCATCCTTAAACAGAGAGGGAAAAGTGTCTTTTTAGTAGTTATTATTAAAACTAACCTTAACTGTAATTAACTGAACATTTTTTTTGTTGAATTGAAATCAACAGTTTAATTGAAACAGAGCAAACAGCCATAGATATCTTACCTTTTCATAATCTTGATAAAAGTGTTGGCAGTCTTCCAGAAAGGTCTCCACATTGCTGACCAGTTCTTCTCTGAAGTTTGGCTGCAAGGCGACCAGCTCGTTCTGCACCTCTGTGCTCCGGGACAAGAGCTTTTCCCAAGTGTAGCGCAGAGTATCCACTTTTTCAGCCTCCTCTTTAGCCACTGATAGTTCATACTTATGGAGCATGGCATAGGACTCCTGTGAGGAAAAATAAGATACTAAGTCTTCCACTTGACAAAAACTAGAATGTGCAAATGTGTAATTATTTCTTTCTGAGCTTCTTGTACAGACTCATAAAGTCAAACAGCTAAAAATGTCTCTTTCCCACTGCGTGTATTTGTGTGTATAAAAAGAGCTTCAATAAATATGTGATGCTGTGGTTTACCTCTATGGGCCCAACTTGAAAATCAATAGATATCTGGTGCTCTCTGATCTCCTTCAGTGCAGCCATGGCAATACGAATATCATCCAGGTCTTTGATCTGTCGATTCAGTTTCTTTCCTGCTTCATCTACAAAAGCAAAAATGTGCTCCATCTCTGAGCGACATTTCCTGTTACAGTAAAGTCCGTA